ATAAATGGCATGACACTCCACACGGAGGTGTAGGAAAATGATATGAGTACATATGTTTATGTAAGGCCGATCGTAATGACTGTGTCGATCCCTAAAGTCAGCTGGGGACACGTGTGACAAAGTCTCTCTAATTTACTATGTATATCTACGGCCCTTTGACACGCCAGAAATCTTTCATCGTTTGATCGAATCCCTGATTAGCACTGACTGTCATGAAACGGTGAAGATCAGGATTAGAATTGATCTTCAGTAACCCATGCTTGTCGTAAGAGGCGACTAACCGGATCGGGTGGTCAGGCTCGCTGACTTGGTTGACACATGTCATCGTATCGCTGTTGCGTAGATCGATGCTCAAGCTGTTGATCACTGGATTGTCTGGTCCAGACTCAATTATGTACAGACCGCTGCCATATAGCTGGAATATTGCTGAGTGCGGTGTTAAACAACAAACAAAACAAAAGATTATTTAACGTTGCGTTGAGAGAAATGACAGCCATCGACTTAAGAACCCTAGACAATTCCAGGTGATACTATAGCAACTTAGTGGTCATAAGAGCACACCAAACAGTGATGCGGTGACTTGGTGGCCTGGTTGATTGCGCCGCTTCATAACCCTTTCGCGTGGAGACCCGTAAAGATCAGAGTTAGAAGTGTTCTTCGGGAACCCATGCTTGTCTCCCCTGTGAAGATCCGGGTTAGAATTGGTCTTCGGAAACCCATGCTTGTCTCCCCTGTGAAGATCCGGGTTAGAATTGGTCTTCAGAAACCCATGCTTGTCTCCCCTGTGAAGATCCGGGTTAGAATTGGTCTTCAGAAACCCATGCTTGTCTCCCCGTGAAGATCCGGGTTAGAATTGGTCTTCAGCAAACCCATGCTTGTCTCCCCTGTGAAGATCCGGGTTAGAATTGGTCTTCAGAAACCCATGCTTGTCTCCCTGTGAAGATCCGGGTTAGAATTGGTCTTCAGAAACCCATGCTTGTCTCCCCGTGAAGATCCGGGTTAGAATTGGTCTTCAGAAACCCATGCTTGTCTCCCCGTGAAGATCCGGGTTAGAATTGTTCTTCAGAAACCCATGCTTGTCTCCCCGTGAAGATCCGGGTTAGAATTGGTCTTCGGAAACCCATGCTTGTCTCCCCTGTGAAGATCCGGGTTAGAATTGGTCTTCAGAAACCCATGCTTGTCTCCCCGTGAAGATCCGGGTTAGAATTGGTCTTCAGAAACCCATGCTTGTCTCCCCGTGAAGATCCGGGTTAGAATTGGTCTTCAGAAACCCATGCTTGTCTCCCCGTAAAGATCCGGGTTAGAATTGGTCTTCAGGAATTCATGCTTGTCTTCCCTGTGAAGATCCGGGTTAGAACTGACCTTCAGGACCCCTGCTTGTCTCCCCTGCTTGTCTCACCTGTGAAGATCCGGGTTAGAATTGGTCTTCTCCCTGTGAAGAAACCCATGCTGCTTGTCTCCCCTGTGAAGATCCGGGTTAGAATTGGTCTTCAGATACCCATGCTTGTCTCCTGTGAAGATCCGAGGTTAGAATTGGTCTTCAGAAACCCATGCTTGTCTCCCCTGTGAAGATCCGGGTTAGAATTGGTCTTCAGAAACCCATGCTTGTCTCCCCGTGAAGATCCGAGTTAGAATTGGTCTTCAGGAAACCCATGCTTGTCTCCCCTGTGAAGATCCGGGTTAGAATTGGTCTTCAGAAACCCATGCTTGTCTCCCCTGTGAAGATCCGGGTTAGAATTGGTCTTCAGAAACCCATGCTTGTCTCCCCTGTGAAGATCCGGGTTAGAATTGGTCTTCAGAAACCCATGCTTGTCTCTCCTGTGAAGATCCGGGTTAGAATTGGTCTTCAGAAACCCATGCTTGTCTCCCCTGTGAAGATCCGGGTTAGAATTGGTCTTCAGAAACCCATGCTTGTCTCCCTGTGAAGATCCGGGTTAGAATTGGTCTTCAGAAACCCATGCTTGTCTCCCCTGTGAAGATCCGGGTTAGAATTGGTCTTCAGAAACCCATGCTTGTCTCCCCTGTGAAGATCCGGGTTAGAATTGGTCTTCAGAAACCCATGCTTGTCTCCCATGTGAAGATCCGGGTTAGAATTGGTCTTCAGGAACCCATGCTTGTCTCCCCCTGTGAAGATCCGGGTTAGAACTGGTCTTCAGAAACCCATGCTTGTCTCCCCTGTGAAGATCCGGGTTAGAACTGGTCTTCAGAAACCCATGCTTGTCTCCCCTGTGAAGATCCGAGTTAGAATTGGTCTTCAGAAACCCATGCTTGTCTCCCCTGTGAAGATCCGGGTTAGAATTGGTCTTCAGGAACCCACGCTTGTCTTCCCTGTGAAGATCCGGGTTAGGAATGGTCTTCAGAAACCCATGCTTGTCTCCCCGTGAAGATCCGGGTTAGAATTGGTCTTCAGGAACCCATGCGTGTCGATTATGTTAGTGTTTGTCAGCGTTACACCAATACACGTGGGTTTCAGCACCAAGATCCGGGTTAGAATTGGTCTTCAGAAACCCATGCGTGTCGATTATGTAGTGTTTGTCAGCGTTACACCAATACACGTGGGTTTCAGCACAGTGATAAACGTCGAAGACGTGCATGACTTCGGGCCTCCCTCCCACATCAACCAGACACGCTGTGATCTGACTGGAATTGACTTCGCTCGCCTCAAACGAATTTACTCAGCAGTTTTAGTACCTTAATCAGGGGTTTTTCGGCAATGACACAAAGATTTAGGACCCATGGAATCAAAGCACTCAATCGAACGCTAGAAAGGATGCTAGACTAATGCTTAGCCTCTGAATATATATAATTTTGATAGTAACAAAACAAGCCCGTTTAAATTGAAAGGGAGCCCCAAAGAGACCGGAGATTCAGAACCTGGGGAAATCTAGACTTGCTTTATTTAGGGCTTTAGCACTGCAGAGAGGGCTTGGCAGTAGGGAGAATAATGTGGTTCAGGGACTGTGAGACAGACTAGAAAGGATGCATACACGAGCACATATAGAACTAAAAGTTATATTTAAGAATTCATTTTTATCAGTGTTAACCAAAAGTGGCATATATACGAACATTTTGGATACGATTCTTTTAATAAATATCGATATGTGATTTTGTTTGTGTTTTTCATGAACAGCGTCTACACTGACGCACTGAGCATCGAATATGGTCGTGTTGTCTGGCGTGTTGCATTTTTTGTCGCTGTTTACCATAAAAAATCACATTCGCCCAAGGTCCCGACGTGGGGCGGCTGCCGCGGTATAAATAGCATTGATGTTGAGGGTTGTAGCACGATACAAATATTGACAACCACTGCGGCACGTCGCGGCGAGAAAATGTGTGACTCAGCGAGATTGTCAGACAATGTCACAAATACCGTAGTGTACATTACGAATAGCAGAGTTTATGAGAAATAGTGAAATTCTCAATTGCATAGGGGTGGATGAGGGGCAATGATAATAACAACACAAATGAATAATAAAAATAATGATAATAAGCTAGAATGGTTTTATGCCTCTCTAAGCACTATTCCAGCAATATTATAACGGGTGATATCTGAAATGGGCTTCGCACATTGTAACTATACATGTGCATATATATCAATCAGTTGATAGTTACTCCACTGACACAGAGCCAATATTGACGTTCGCTCATGACCTCAGCTGGACCTACATGCTTTTGAACCCATGTGAGTGAGTTTAGATTTAAGCCGCTTTTAGCACTATTCTAGCGGGGGACACCAGAAATGGGCTTCACACTTTGTACCCACATGGGGAATCGAACCCGGGTCTTCGGCGTGACGCCAGAACGCTTTAACCACTGGGCTACCTCGCCGCTTCTTCTCAGCCGAAGGGAACTCCGCTTAAGACCCCAGCAACCATGCTACATGATCTTAGTCAGATTCGATGACTTGGTTGGTGCACGTCCTCGTATCCTTATGGCGTGGATCCTCCTGAAGTCAGTCTCTCTGTCATTAATATCATCGTCACGATATGGCTGCAATATTGCCGATGTGACGTTAAATAATAACTCACTCATTGATATCAGGTGGTCGTGTGGTAGCCTGAGTGGTCATAGCGTTCGCTCGTCACGCTGAAGGGCCGGGTTCGATTACCCACAAGGATGCAATGAGTGAAGTCCATTTCTGGTGTACCCTGCCGTGAAATTGCTAGAATATTGCTGAAAGTGGCGTAAAACGATATTCACTCACTCACTTTACTGTTAATGCTTCCCTATGGATATTCCGCGATCGAATGTGTCTCCAGCGACCTATCCTGGTTGTAAAAGACGTTAAATTATGGTACTTGTTGGTCCCTGCCTGGTGCTCGGCATTAATGGGTACAACAAGGACTGGTCGGCTCGGAGTCAGTATAATGTGTCTGAGTGGGGTATTCATGCTTCACTGCGGCATGGTATCTCAGTGGGCTAGCACTATAAACCAGCTTAAGTCTGGGCTAGTAAAAGCAGCCGCACATACACATACACACACATGCACGTCGTCATATGAGCGAAATATTCTCAAGCACGACGTTAAACCCAATTTCACCTCACCTCACCTATATCCTGGTTGTAACAGGATCGCAGTTGATGTGTGTCCTCGTTGCTCATTTCATCAACCACTGGAGTGCTTGGCCCCGATTCAATAAAATATTCACCGGCCGCTATAAGCTGGAATATTGGAGTGCGACATTAAACAACATACATGCAATATAGTGTTCATATAATCTCAAAACCGACGAGGTGAGTACAGAATATCTTCTAAGCTGGGAGTATTTTTCTATATCTTCTTCAAGAGACACTACGGTATCTGTCAAAAGTTGAATAAAAACATGTTCGTATCACCTGAGGCAGTGGAGCGGGTCCCACGTTAATAAGCTTCGTGAATCACTCGTCTCTGTTGCGTTCTCGCCCTACCTGCACCTACCTTGATCACCTGTAATTAGTGGGTCGGATACTTATGTAATACCTACGTTGGTACCTTGGATGTTTGCATGATGTGCCGGTAACGCGGGTTCATCAGGTAGGAGTATTTGTTTAATATATTTACAGTATTACCTGGATTACGTTTCACTGTCCCGTGGTGCTTCATGTTTGAGTTGCACGTCCAGGGCCGGCTACTGACTCAACAACACGGTAAGATGGAGATTTGAATTGAGATCTAGTTCATGTTCAGCAATACAAATACAATGCTGATAATTGTAATTAATTTGCAGTTTCAGCACTTTATGTCTGAAACAAATTACGAGAAGATCTATAATTAGCGACGGTTTACAATGTGTATCAGAGATGTAAACTGACATCTTTAGAAAGACGAGGGGGCACTACCCACCTACCCACCCTACCGAAACTGACTTCCGCCAATGACATGCAGGTGATGTGTGATATGTTGGGATATTTTATTAAATTGTATTCAGTTCAAGCACATTTTGCCAGGACAATGTATGCTATCCCTGTGATGTACATCGTATGTACATCGTACTATATATATGAGCATATTAAACAACCAACTGTGAAAAGGTGAAAGGTTACGCGCATGGTTAACGATGCATGTAAGTTTCAATTAAACACATCTGAAATGTTAGGACCTACAGATTTAGTATACCCATTTCCACGTGTTCTGTATGTCTCCATTAACACTATTAAAGCTAAAAAATGAAACATTCGAATCTACACCGAAACGACGATAATAGATTCTAATGTCGTTGTCAAACAAGTAATTTTCACATAGGCGGATCGAGAAGGGGATGCAGGGGTATGTCCTGAAAGTTTATCAAATGACCATTGAAACTCTCGTGTAAACGGGTGAAAATGAGCTATGCACACCCCACCCCCCCTTTCTGAACTGTACGCACGCATGTACGCACACACACGCCTTCTCAAAAAGCTGTATCCGCCCTGGTAAAGCAAAATGGTGCTAATCGAAACGTCACCTTTCACAGAATAAAGAAGTTGTATATCCATAAAATTATCATTCTTCATCACCGCAACTTCTAAATGCCCATGAAAGAAGTCAAAACGATGCATGGCGTTATTCATACAGTCGTATGCTTCATTATTGACTCGCAAATTTCTAGAGTGCCGATCAACAATTGGTACTAAATGCAGAAGTCACTACAGGGTATTCGTGCATGTGTTTCATTATATTTCGTCTACTGTGTCTAACGTCTGGCTTGAGAGTACTGCTCGAGTGTGAGGCCCCCGGGCTTGAATAGATCACGACTGTCATTATGATGACATACAGGTGGCAGCGTGGTGCTTGCATTTACGTGGTATGTGTCGCACAAGATGCAGATGATATAGTGATTAAGATTGATGTTTCTTTACATGACAGCCCCAATTACACACACATCAGGTAGAAACACAATACCGTACACACACAAGTCATATATCCGTCTTCACTTTTCTCAGAAACGAATTCCGTTTGGGTTAAAGGGAAAAATAGCTGAGAAAAAACCCGCAGCTAACAACAACCTATTGTTTGTGTGGGAAATATTAAGTCTGTGGTCGGAACATTTGAGAACATGAACCTCCGTCATCTACCCTCTTGCTGTGTCACGTGCTATCATGGCCTTCAACATACTACATACCGGACCAGTTGAGCCGGTGATCGACAGCAGGAGCAACGGTAGACATCGGGGCAAGATGACATGTAGTTAGATAGATCTTTTGATTGTTGTTTAACGCCACACTCAGCAATGTTGTAAATAATCGAGTCTGGACCACACCAATCCAGTGATCAAAAGCATGCGCATCGATCTACGTGCTACTGCTTCCCCTGCTGCTGCTACTCTTAGGGGCGATGGGGTGGCTAAGTGGTTAAAACGTTTGCTCGTCACGTTGGGTTCGATTCCCCACATGGGTACAATGTGTGAAGCCCATTTCTGGTGTCCCCCAGCCGTGATATTGATGGATTATTGCTGAAAGCGGCGTAAAATCATACGCGTATTCGCATTTCTACTACTATTAAAACAACAACAACTACTACTACAACTACTACATTTTCTCCGGCTGCTTCTACTACTACTACTGTTGCTGCTGTTGATCCCACCCCATCTCCAACTACTAGCCAAACTGAATTTACAAAACTGTTTACCCTCCGCATAAAAAACCCTAAACGTTGAATACTATCCTACCTCGTTACCACGCTCCCTCATGTCAAGGTTATGTGAAAGTAAATATATCCGCTTTATCTAGTATGTGTCTCATTTCACAATGTCAATTGATATATGGGAGTAGGAAAATTTGGTACTGTATTACAGGTTTTGGCAGAATTAGCTGCATGACTAAAGTAACAAGTGAGAGTGAATGTAGTTTCGAGCCGCACGCACGTTAATTTAAACTTCTCTCGTTGTGAGCGTCGTGTCCCCATGGCGTCTGTCGTTGTTCATGGTGTTACCTCACATTCTGTCTGGACTGGACTAGATTAAAGTCAGTAATTGTTTAGCCTAGTCTTGACCAGACCAGACACGACGACGTAGACGGAACAAACATAACCTTTAAATCTCATAACTGCTTTAAACAACTTAGTAGCTACACCCTCGATTATCCAGGATATTTTATCTTCATTCTCTTATGGTTAATAGCCACACACCACAACCTGAGAAGGGTTATTGGTTTTGTCTGAAAAAATGAATCAATTCTTTCTAGCCTGTACTGAACTTTTGAATTGGTTCCTAAAGTATGAACGAGGGTAGTAGCGGATGACGTCACTTCGGAACAAAGCTGTGGCGGTGAACAGATCAAAGTATTGATGTAAATAGAAGGATGATATTGTACAATGGGTAATTGAGGGACGCTTTTCCACCACGAAATTCCTATGTAAGGGGGGATAATAAAGAACTAACTGAACTAATCTTTACGATAGCCTGTTAAAAATCCTGAAAATGGATATGTATATATTAATTGAATTATGAAGGGCTCGCTCCGTGATATTCACTGTAATAGTAAGCTAGTTTTCCCACGGGATTGAGTGTCCGACAGGCCAGTTAGCAGGTTCAGATCAATTAGGTTACGTCAGCAGGACCGGTAGGTGTGACTCTGAAGAACGCAGCCTGCAAACAGCCTACCTCAGCCCCTGCTAAGTAAACGTTCAGAAAGTTGAAACTATACAAACACATTTAGGCTAAACATTCGTATTTGCTATTTTGTTAACTATTAAAAGTTTTAAGCTAATGATATAAAGTAAAACGTCCAGCTGTAAAGCATCTGGTGTGCATTTATTATTTAAATGACAAGACTGTACGTCATGACATCCGTCAAGTTCCGGGTTAGACTTGATGTTCAGCAACCCATGCTTGTCCTAAGTGGTGACTAACGTGAGTGAGTCAGTTTAGTTTACGCCGCACTCAGCAATATTCCAGCCATATGACGGCGGTTTGTAAATAATCGAGTCTGGACCAGACATTCCAGTGATCAACAGCATGAGCATCGATGTGCGCAATTGGGAACCGATGACATGTGTCAACAAAGTCAGCGAGCCTGACCACCCGATCCCTTTAGTCGCCTCTTGCGACAAGCATGGGTTACTGAAGATCAATATTCTAACCCGGACCTTCACGGGTTCTGGTATGCATTCTAATGACAAGACTGTGAAGGGCCGGGTTAGACTTGGTCTTCACCAACCCATGCTTGTCCTGAGTACCGACTAACGGGATCGGGTGGTCAGGCTCGCTGACAGACTTGAAGCATGTCGTCTTATCCCATTTGGGGCGGTGGGGTAGCCTAGTGGTTAAAGCTCATTTCTGGTGTCCCCCGCCGTGATATTGCTGGACTATTGCTAAAAGCGGCGTGAAACCATACTTACTCACTCACTCACTCGAATTTCACAAGCAAGCAGTATTTCACGAATATATTTTCTGGAAGATTTCAAGACAACTGTACACATAAATGTCCCGATAATGCGACAAATTGTATGATTGTAGCCAATCAGAGCGCGTTTCGCAGTCACGTGACGTTTCCCCGGCCTTTTGCGAAATTCGTAAACAATGGTTAACGATGCACCCAGACACAGTGTATAATGGCACACCGACAAGTGACTTGTTAACTCGTCACAGCCCGGGGCCTGCCATTAGTTCACATGCAACACACTTCCTGGCAGGGCGATGTGACAGGAGCGGAAAGTTAGAAAGTTTTTTTTGTGCGAGTTGCTTGAAGTTTTACACGAAGGTTAGAAAAACCGCGAGAAGTTACACCTGAACTGTTACATGACACAGATGATATTTGATAACTGAAAACAAGAGTCAACATTTTTTACCGAGAGGATTTGGAAAATTTTATACCAAACCAAACTTAGGCCAAAACTACGACTACCTCATTTGGTTATGGTTTTACAAAGCAATTAAACAATTCCCCAAAGCAAGTTCGAAATCTCAACATACACCGCTCATAATACCGTATTTCCTCTAAGAAGCGCCAGGGAGATGATTTTTTCAACGGACTTTCAGACGCGGCGCTTATTAGAGGCCCGGCGCTTATTGGAGACCCGGCGATTATTACACAATATCCATCAACCCGTGCCATGTGGAGGACAGGAAGTTATGATTAAAGAGACCATTCCTTAATAAATCTTTTTTTGATCAAGGGTGAATTCATTTGTAAAAAAATGTACTCGGCGCTTATTAGAGACCCGGCGCTTATAAGAGGCCGACGCTTATTAGAGCAAGTACGGTATATATTACTGTACTAGTATTTTGCAAAACGATACAAGCGTCTTTGAGGTGATCGTCTAGCACTCATTATAATATCTGCTGAATCCTAAAATGAGGCTGACATTAAGATACTATGGTTATATAGCATCATGTATGTCCATGGTTGTTATAAAACAGGTGCCAAAAAGTGAATTTGAACTAAATTAAGTCACATGCTACTTCGTGTCTTGAAGATCCGGGTGAGAATTGGTCTTCAGTAACCCATGCTTGTCGTAAGAGGCGTCTAACGGGATCGGGTGGTCAGGCTCGCTGACTTGGTTAGCATATGTATTCGTACCCTAGTTGCGTAGATTGACACTCATGATGTTGATCACTTGATTGCCTGGTCCAGACATGATTATTTACAGACCGCCATCATATAGCGGGAAGATTGCTGAGTGCAGCGTTAAACAATCAAACAAACAAACTTCGTGTCTTCCAGTCTAT